GTGCCAATTTTAGAACCGATGCCTACTGGCTGCTGTCAGCACGCGGGGAGGTATTCTTTCCCAAAGCACCAGACAACCAAATTTATGCATGAGAAAATTCTCATATCCTATCTCATTCTTGTGAAAGAATACAAAGCTTGTTGTCCAGGGTGTGGGGGCCGTCTGGTGGGGTTTTTTTTAATTCCTTGTACAATAGGCTTCTGTCAGTGCTGGTGGAGACGACCTTCAGCATCTTTTGATGTCAGTAGCACGATAACAATTTATAACAGCCACTGGGTTGGCCACATGGGAAGGGGGAGAAATATTCACCCTGCGCGACTATACAGAAGTGCTTTAGCACAGTAGCTCAGTCTACCCGGGATCCCAACCGTACTGTATCCCCCCACCCCTTCATAACTATGGAAGGAGCCTGGGGAGATCAGCTGGCTAACTTGGGTACATCAAACGCATGCCTAAAATCAGGTGAGGTATATCTGGGGTTTGGTACCTAATTGTCAGGCAGCTGCCAGAAATCAAGTTCAGATGCATTTACTGATCAGGTTCCTGAACTAGTTTGTCTGTTCAGCCTAGAAAATAAAGCCCAGTTCCTGGAAAAGTCCTTGACTTACACTGACACAGCACCTTGGACTACTAAAGAAGCGTATGAGCGTAACTGCAGCAGTACCGTTTCGGCATGGCAGCAGCACCACACCAAACTGCTTTGGGCACATGTCTTAAGTCCATTGAAGCTTCTGCATCCCTAAGTTCTAGCTTCCCACTTCCTTTCTTCAGAGCAAAGATAGCTGCTGTATCATGTTATTAAAACTGTCATCGAGGGAGAAAGAGAACAAGAGGATGAACAAAACCGGACCGCTTCATTTGTTCTCACTCTGTCCAATGCAGGTGAAAGATGTGTAAATAGGACTGCACTAGCAGCAGTGCAGGAGAGGAAAGGAAGGACAGAGCGGGAAACATTAGATAGTTGATAATATTGGATTATCAATGAGATAATGAAGTCATCAGTTGATAATGGGATCTCATCTCATAGGGGTAAAAGCAGGAAGCCCTAGCAAGGATACAGCCCTCTAAGACTGATAACTCAGGCCAACCATGAAAACCACTTAGCTGTTGCAGGATTCTGCAGTCAGGGAGGGCCAAGGAGTCTCTGAGATGGATGAATTCCTGCCCTCACCTTGAGACAGAACTGCACAGCCCAGGTGAGGTATCTCTGGGTTTGCTTTCCCCACTTTGGAGTGCTCAATTGCAAGATCCTACTTATCTCCAGGCTGACCTCCTCTTTCATGGCCCTTGCCATAGTTGCAAGCAGGCCATGGGGATGCTTTAGCTGGTAAGGGGCCAAGCATGCACTGCAACAGCTCCATGCGCAGAGGTATTGGCAAGGGGCGAGAAGTTCCTACACCACAGATCAGCCAAAAAAACCAGTCTTCTCACAGCCACTGAAGATCAGGAGGGATCTCCTGTGTCTGTGAATCCATTTCTCTACTCACATGGGTGTTTTGCCATGTAACGCAGCTCACAAACTGATCCAACTGCTTTGCATGGTATGGTGTGAGGTGCGTTTGTCCATGCACATTTTTTCCTGGGCATGCATTGGGCTGTTGTTGATGAGATTTGGGTAGTGACCCTCTGAATAAATTTGGGAAGAGTGGGGAAGAGAAGGAAGTGTATCTGTATCACCCTGACAGCTGTCTGTTTCACCAAGTGTATAACAAGGAACAGTCAGGATTACACTACCCATGAGAAGCAGCCCTTGCTGTCGTTGGAAGGCAGCCAGGTCCTCTCTGTAGGCTTCCCCTGCGGCTCATGGAAAGATACACTCCCCTAGAGTAGGAGACCCACCTGTATACTCAGAATTCCCCTAAAGGTTGACATGGCATTTCTGATGCAAAAAAGAACCCAGAGCTTCCCTATGTAAATGACTTTCTCCTTTAGGAGAAAGGGTGGGCGAGGGAAATCACTGGCAAGCTTTGCTCTGTGGTACCCACGCAGTGACCTCCGTGGAGAGGAGCATCACGGAGAGTTTTGTAGCTGGACGGCAGTGAGGGCACAGAAACAAACCTCTTCTCTTACCAGGTCTCAGCTATTGCTTTTTGCTGTTGGGGCTAACATGAAACAATTTTTTCTCACAGTGAATGTTTGGACTCTGTAAAGTCCACCTTTGCTCTGACCTGACTCAGAGGGGTCACAAAGGAGGTTATCCCACCCCAGTGAATGGAGCTAGAGCTGCTTCTGCTGGGGTGGAAGGAGACCTTCATTGTCCACAAAGCCACCCTGTTCACATCTCACTCCCATGCCCCAAGGATGTCCCAGGCCAGTATTATCTCACGGCCAAGCTGGACTTCTAGCCTCCCTTCAGCCACTCCCAGCACACAATGGCCCAGCTGTCAAGAAAAAATGCATCCGATGGTAGGAATCCCGCGGCAGCAAACCGGGCCGATGTCCCAAGCTGAATGGAGCATCCTGGCCCCCTGGGTCAGGCTCCTGCACCAAACCCACCTGGGCAGCAGCCACCAGCATCCCTGCATCCCCATGTGGCTTTGTCAGATCCTCTCTAGGTGAGATGGCTGAAATGCTTTTGGTCGCTTTGCGAGATCTGCCCGAGACCTGGCAGCTATGCCCAGCGCTGCCAGGATGCACCAGCTTACAGCCCAGAGCAGCCAAAGAGAAAAATAAATACATCACGTCCAGTTCTTCCACTGGCCAAGTAGGGACTGAAACTAAGCCTGCAGTTAGGATTTTGCCTGTGGGCTAAGACCAAGTCGGGGGTTAAGAAATCTTGTGTATACTTTTTTTTGGAAAAGGTTTGGGTTTTTTTTGAAAGGATCTTAAACTTGCTTAAATTGTGATGTTAACTCTCTAACTTAGGGGATATTCTTCAGGAGTGCTCTGGTCCAAACAAGCACAGAGCCAGATTTTATAATCATATTGTGAAATGGTAATGTCCTTCCCAGCTTTTGCTGTCCTTGGTTTTACAGTGAAGGTTCTGCTAAAACCCCATGTAGATACAGTTGCATAAAGACAAGACTTAAGTTCCCATCTCACACTTGAATGACTGACTGTAATTCTTCAGAATTATCTTTTATGTGACTTTTTCAGCTGAAATGTACAAAAATGCTCCCTCTCTGAAATCATACTCTCTTTTCAGAAGTTTCTCTGACTTCTCCCAGCTAAGCAGCCACAGACCCTGCAATCTTTCATCCCTTTTCTGTTCATTCACACACACCTGTCTTGCTATCATCTTGGAAATAATCCTCTCTTCCCATCTTGAAGCAATGCACCGGCAAATGCCAGCCCGTTATGCACAGTGGGGTGCCACCGCAGTCCCCAAATCGCAGCAGCCTCGTGCCAGGCAGGAGCCTGGCACAGACCGGGCTCAACCTCAGCTGCCCTGGTCCTATGATGGCAAAAGTGGTATTGGGAGAGGAAACACCTTGCCACTCCCTGACCCTCCCTGCAAACCATGGGGCTATCTCACCCCTACACCATCACTTATGGGACATGTGGAATAAGCTGTAAGGCACAGTAAAATGAGTCAGCCTTACTGCAGAAACGTCACCTTTGGGACTCCTGCCACATACACATTTATAACCGGAGTTGAATTTCCAGTCCCCTCGGGGCTGGCGCAGGGGCTTGTTGCTATTTCTTGCTTTGGTTTTCAGTGTGATTTTGGCACTTGATTCCTTCCCACAGCACCGCCTGTTACCTGTGCCCTATGGTTTCCATAGGCTATAGCTGTAACGGAAGCTTATTTGGCTGCAGGCTCTGTTACAGCTCTCAGCAGTGCTCTGGGGCATGCTCCCGTGCAATTGTATCCCACTGAAATAATCCTGAGCAAACAGCTCCTTTCAAAGATTTTCGCTCAGGGAACATCTGCGGAAAGCAGAGCAGTGCTACTTGAAACAGCCTTATCAATCATAGCGCTGCACGCTTTCAAATTGGTGTATTTTCAAGATGTTGCAAGACTAGCTCCATTAGAAGGGAAACATGCTGCCTGCTTCATGCCTGAGACCATAATTTAAGTGAAATGAGAGTTCCCCAAAGAGCTAGACAGATGCCAGACCTCCTTACCTTGAGTAACTGCCTTACTTTTTTTCATGATCTTTCCCTTTCTAACATTATTCAGCGCGATATGTTTGACTGCCCTGGCTTTCCCTGCTGCTCCTCCACCAGCAAAGCCAGGACTTTCAGAGCCAGCCAAGACAGGCAGAAAGGACAAGATGTGCTGGGGGCAGTGAGACCAGGGTGTCCCCGGGCTGGCAGGGTGCAGGCATGCCATGCCACAGGTGTCCAACACATCGGCCACTGCTGTGCCCATCACCTCCCCAACGGGTTAGCGGCTCTCGCTTCTCTGTGATGTGGGAGGACTGGGGTTTAGGTCTTGGTCAGTCCCAAGGGATTTGAGCTCAGAGGTCTTGTGATGGGAGTTCCCTCGAAACTTGAGCACAGGGTTTTTATCTGGAGAAAGGTATTGCAAAGTGCAATGGAAAGCCTGGGAGTGAGAGGCAAACCCCAGCTCTCCTGCCTCTCAGTTCAGGAGCCAACCCAGTATTTGAGGATCCTCCAGAAACAATGGCAATCACAAGACCCCCTAGTACATTCGAAGAAGCTCTCCTCCCTCTCTGTCATCAAAATGCCCTGCATTTATTATCTTTTAGCTATTGTGTTATTGAGAGTTAGTGTTTGGGGGAAGAAGGGAGTCAGCAATTCTAATTTATTTTAAGGATCCACCCGAAATAAATAAACAAACTTAAATTACTGTGGAGTACGCTTGAAGGATGAGAGTCCTGGTGGACCCTACACCAAGGCACAAGGGAAGCCCAGCACCTCAGCCTCAGACCACCTCCTTTGTAAAGACCGCTTTCGCTCTCTGTGCTTGGAATTCAGGGCATCGCATGTCAAATACCGTATACTTGGACCTATACCATACTCTATACCATTCCCTACTATTTTTAAAACTCTGCTCTCCTGCAGTGCAGACATTGTTGAGTGCGTGTACATACCACGTGGAAAACACCGGCTGCCTTGATGGGCTTGAATCCAGCGACGGGAACGCAGTGGTCAGCGTGGCCGTTGCAGAAGCAGCTGCCCTTCACGATGAAGTCGTAGACGGCGTAGTGCAGGGGCGGCGGGGGCTGCAGCGGCCGGGGGGCCAGGCTTGCCGGGAGGCAGGGGCAGCCCTGCCGCTCCAGCAGCCGCACACGCAGGTTGGTGATCTTCAGCTGTGCCTGGGCTTCTGCGCTGTATGGGTCCTCCGCAGCGTAAGGCGGTGACAGGGCTCGGTATATCACCTGGGCAGAGAAATGCAGCAAGGGAAGCAGAAAGGAGGATGTCAGGCAGCCCTGTGGCCGGCCGGGGGGGGGGATGGTGGCTGGAGCATCCCCCGGGACCATGCACCAGGTTCTCGCGATGCTCTTCCCGCTCTGCAAGCGGCGGGAGCAGCAAATCCACCTCCACCCCATGTGCGCAAAGTGACCCCCCGTGATCCCCTATACCCTGTCTGGACCCGACGGGTGCAAAGCAACATTTCGCCATTAACTTAAAGCAGAGGTCAGTGCCGCTGGTACGCGGCGTGGCCCAGCACAGGGACTGGCAGTCCTGCAGGTGACGCTCAGGTGAGGGACTCTTCATTAACCTTCCCCCCCCAGAATGGGTGTATTTTTTAACAAATAAAGCCCAGATTTCCAAATATTTGGCTCCTATGAGTCCCAGGCTGCTTCCTAGTGGAAAAGTGATTAGGCATGGCAATTAGCGACAGCAAGCTGATAGTCAAGAAAACCGAGATAAGAGAGAAAGAAAAGTGGGGGGCTTCTGAAATTTAAACAAATACTTATCAGTCAGTCTTTATTTTAACCTGGGACTGACTGAATAGGTAAATATTGGCTCAAGCTGAAAATTGAGAGAACTAGATAAAAATAGCTAATTTTCTTGAAGAGGTTTATTTTAAACTTGCTGGTCAAGCTGCCTACAGTGTGAAACAGCACATAATTCACATAACTACTATTGGCATAAAATGACACATTTACAACACGTATTAGTTACTGGTATATTTAACTTACAGTGACACTTTCTAAGTAGTTAAATAGCTCTTCACTGAATAGCTGTTGAAGGCTTGATGAACTACAGTATTTGTAAGCAACAGTTCAATCAGTCACTTGACGAGTGTTTGAGGGTGTGATGCAGCCTAACGGCCCGATGCATTGCTCCCAGCAGCGGCTTAAAACCTCCTCAAACCACCCCACTGCCTCACTGATAACCACCCACGCCACCCGAAACACCGGCCAGCCTCCTATGGACAGCAAGGAGGTGTGCAGCAGCGAAGGGCGACCATCGTTTCTTGCCGGGAGGTGCTGCGGGGTGCCCAGCGAGAGGCAGCAGGCGAGCCTGCCGGTGCCACTTTCGGGGATCACAGCCTTCTCTCCCTAAATCCACTCCTACCAAAGGATGAGGCTGATACGCTCCAGCTGATGAAGGCTTCCCTTTTATTTCACCAGGATTCACGTATCCTGGAAATAATGACCCCGGTGCTGCCAGCTCGCCCGCCCGCGGGCTTTGCCTGCTGGCTGCTGCCTCCGCCAGCCCTGCCACTGCTGGCACCACTCCTGGCGGGGACCTGGCTTTTCTCCACAGCTGCCAGGATCCAGCTAGAGGAAGCTTTGCCCCGGCCTGGAAGGAGATTTAGAGCTTGTTTTGGAGCTGAATGGCAGCAGTGTGCTTTTGTGCATCCCATCGGCCTGCCAAATGCGGTCGCTACCAGCGCACCGGTGACAGCGGGGCTCGGGCGTGCTGGTGCCGGATGCCGCGCGCTGGCAAGCACGTTGTGGCTGCAGCCCCACGCTGCCGTCCTGCAGATGCTCCCTCCCAAAGATATTCCAGCATCTTCTGCCAGAAAGATGTTGATAAGGGAGAAGGTTAACCAGGAGAGGTGATCAGAGGGCAAGGCTGGTGAGCGGTACGCGCCTTGTACGGAAGTGTTGAGTCTGATGAGGGATATTAATAAATAGTAACATATCTCAAAAGGTTTTTTTTTCCCCTCTCTTTCAGGAACATACAGAGTTTTTTCTGCTTTCCTAAAATAAAAATACCAAGCAGATATGAACAGAAACCCAAGCGAACCCAACTATTGGGCCCTGCACCTCTCCCCAAGGCTTGTTATTTACCCAAATTTAAATCAATGTCATTCTGATCACATTTACTCATTAGTGGCTTTGTGAACACAAGATGCTTTCAGATATGGAAAGAAAATTCCTTGGGAAACATCCAAACCGGAGACATTGATTTCCTTTTACTGGAGATGATGGAAAATGCCGCGCTGAGAATTTTCAGTAAAAACTAGTAGTTTGGGTTCCTTGCGATTACATAAATTGCATCTCAGAGAATTCTTTGTTCATCGTGATTTGGATGAGAGCGGTGAAGGAAATACATAAATGGGAACAATTTATGCTAGATTCAGCTGCAGACTTTCTTTTCATCATTTGCAGTTTTCCTTGTTTATTTATCCTCATTTAATGCACATGACCGATGCTTGTACCTCTAGTAAAGACAATTGCAGCAAGGAAATCGATAACGCTGAGTGCCTTCGTGCCAAGAGAGTTAAATCTCGCCTGTGTGGAATTCAGGGGGAGTTATGCTGCTGATTTCAATGGAGCCAGTATTCCCGCTCAGGCCCTAAAATGTTACAAACATTTCTTTTTATGGCTACTTGAAAACAGTGATGCTAAACATGAGGCCTATCTGTAATCCCCAGGGGCTGCGGGCTCTCAGCCGCTCCCCCTGGCTGCCCAGTATTGCTCCGGCTGTGCCCAGCAGCCCCGGCCCCGGCTTCAGAGCCGCGTTGCACCCTGCAACAGTGCAATGTAACAGGGTGAGCCTGGTCTCAGTGCTGCCAACACAGTAAACACCCTCATCCCTCCGTCCCAGACGCTAGTAGTTCTGTTTTAATAAAATACAAACCAGTCATTATAAAATGTAGGACACCATACAAATAGCAATTCTCTGCTCTGCCCCGGCTGGTTGAGCTGGATCCCCCAGAGGCTGCATAGTAAGGTCAAGGACGTGTTTCCCAGCAAGATTTCCCTGTTCAGTTGTTAACCTTGCTGATTTATCCCAGCCTATCTCGGGAGTCAGCACATCACTGGGGCCACACCGTCCACATACAGCTGTTATGGGTCTGCACCCCTGTGCTGCCCAGCAACTCAGCCCCACGTACACACATGGGTGGGTAACAGCTTTCCTGTTTTTACCTTCCCTTGGACTTCTCCGTGCAATCGTCCCACTGACAGGACTGGCCCTGGTCTGCAGCATCCCATCTATGAATGAACCATGGTTTGCACAGCAAACCTGACTGTGTTTGCATACCTAGAGTTCTGCCGGCAGCCCCTGGCCACTGCAGTCAGAGCCCTCCTCAGCCAAAATATTGTTTAGTTTTAATGGCGCAGGGGAAGTGTGTAGGCAGGATTTGAGAACAACGCACTGCCAACATGCATGTGTACCTGACAATGAGGTTTTGCAAGACCATCATCTCCCTGGTGCCACCGGGCAGGACTTCCTCTGATTGACTCTGTTGGGCCAATGCTCCCCAGCTGCCCGGGGATGCTTTTGGTGACGTGCCCAATCCACAGCCATCGTTTCCTCTTCCCAACAGCTCCCCAAAGCCCTCTGGGTTTATCTTGCTAAAACCACACAGAAAACACGCGTGTCCGGCTCAACCTGCAGGGACAGAAACTCTCCCCAGCGGCTCCGCCACTGTTGTCACGGTCTTGGCACAGGTCATTGCAGCTTTTTAGCTGTTGGGGCAGCCCCTCTGCCAGACACAACGGGGGGATGGCAGTTCCCTCCTGCCCCCCAGAGAAGTCACTGCCTGCAGAGCCATCAAGTCCATTACTCTTCCTAACCTAAAAGCGCTGGAAGAAGTCATGCCCGAGGGTCCCCTGCCAAAGGGAGCTGTGTTGTGATTACACAAGGGAGATAACTAGCTTGATGAGGTGCAGGAGGACATCCTTTTTGATAGATGATGCCGTTCCTGTTTTCACAGAGCAAGGCCTCTGGCAGGAGAAAGCTCTACCATGTGCAGGGGAATGCACCCACGCCCTTAGTAAAGGAGCAACGGCAGCAAAATCTGGCCATTCGCCTGCAGCAAGCCTCACCAGAAAGCACCCCACGGTGACCAGGCCTCCGGCTTTCCCACTCAAGTCTGTCTGCATGCAGGTGTCTTACAGACAATATGTCAAAGCATTACAATGTTGGGTAGACAATGTGACTTCTCCCAGTAGTCAGCACCACATATGATAGCAAAGGGTGGGAGGCCTGGATCTTTACATCAGCAGCTCTATAGTGCATGCACTAATCCAAATTTTCTATTTTGTAGAACAAGTAGGAAGTAATAAATTGAAAACCCACAGCACTTCTATGCTAGACATGCCGTAATATCAGAAAGATATTTTCATTCCCAGTGTTGTTAGGTCACTATAAATCTTATTATATTTGGGATTGTTGCTAGCTCACTATAAATCTTACAGTATTTGGGATTCTTCTTAAACACAATCCCAGGAACTGAATCTTTATCTCAGCTTCCATTTAAAACTAAGTATCTAGCAATATCTCATATCTGAGGAGCAAATGTCACAAACCAGGAGGCAAATAAAAAGAACCTCTGTCTTTAAAACAAAATATCAGTATTTAGGGTAATGTTACTTCCACCTCACATGGAATTATGCTGTTGGATCCCATGTCCTATAAATGCGATGTTTGCATGAAACAACATCAATAGAGAAGTGATTTAAAACTCACATGAGGATTTTTTGGTGGGGGAGAAGTCTCTCTACACAGCCAAATAGGCACTGTAGACTGCAATCCCTGAGTGAGGAATGTCACTGCTATGCCTTGAGAGGGTCGGGTTCACCTGACCGTCCTGGTGGGATGGCCGGCGGTGGCAGCAGGGAGTCTGCTCCACTCCCAGGGGAGCGGGAGTGGAGAAGCTGCCCCACAGCACCTTGCGCATGCCATGGCGTAAAAATATTCTGCTCTTCAGCCAGACTGCTCTGTCTGTGATTTGGGCACATCATTACATAGATACCCTCTAATAAATTTTCACAGCATTTCAATTTCCTTATGGGCTGTCATGAGCAACTCTTGCTCTGTTGATTACTTCACTTTGTTTTGTCTTAGTGGCGCAAGAAGCCTTAGCTACTTGCCATTCCACAGATGCAATAATGTAGCCCTGTATATAAATAAAACGGCAGCCATGAACATCGTGCACTCAAGTAACCGCCTGCACCACAATGACCTTGAT